TTATAGGATATAGTTCAGGTGGATATTAATATGTGATATAAAGAAGCAATAGGAAAATATAGCGAAGTTACCACCTAAATTAATAGACTTGGCATACAAGCACGCGGTTAGTAAATCGAATGCAGCGTACATACAAACGCTGCGCCGGTTCTGCCCAACTTCCCTGCAGGAACCGCCGCCACTTTGGTGGTGTCCTCGAGTTGACTCGCTCATGGCTAACTAGGCCTGCCTGCCTGACTCAAGCACTCGCGACCGCATATGCTACAGCATGTAGCGCTTGTACATATCTTTCTTTCCAATTGTACTTTCCTATTCTCATTTCCATAATGATTGTACAGTTTTGTTTTAACTGACCAACAACCGATACAACACTTTTTCGGGTTTCGATTCGCCTTCTGGTTCCGGCTCCGCGTGTTGTGCTGCTTGTCGTCGTCTGTCTGCTGGCCTCGTCCATCGATCATCAGATCTAACGCGTCGATTTATTGTGCCGAGTAAGTTCCGTCTTCCGACCAAATTGTGCGACTAACTGACAGCCTAGCGAAGATCGTGCTTTACCTAAGGTCAGTTACAGCATTCTTATTTATAGACTGAGATCTTATATGTAGTTAAGCCCTTTCCTTTTGACCTTTCCACTACAAGCACCATGCACTTGATGTCGATGGAGTACAACCCATGTGCGCTTGCTACTTCCGCACCTGTTACGTTTTCTCTGCATGCATAAAGAGTCTCTACTGCACCTCGGCAACTGCCTTCGTGATCAGACAACGCCATGCAGGCTGATCAACCGCCTTCGATTTACATGCCCCGCAATCCAGCTTGGAAAATGAGAAGCTCACTTTGATCGTGTCCTGGTAACGAAGCTTCGGTTTCCTCACATGACTGTTCCTAATACTGAGCTGACCATATAAGAGTTGCTTCGGTATCCGCGTCGAATCCATACGACTCACATGATCGAGCTACCTCAGGAGCCTCAGCAAAATTATGCAGACCGCTGCATACATTGTACAATAGCGCAAAACTTCCGTGTCTGCAACTCCGTCACAACAACCGACGCGCAAAATCCGTGGCAAGCCCTGCTGATGGAACCGGTGGCGATATCTCACATCCCGCAGGTACATTGTCCACGTTTCACTACCGCATGGAAAAACGGACAGCACCATGGATTTGTACACCATCAGCTTCGTGCCAATGATAAGCTGATGGTTGTTCCACACACGGTACTCTAGCTTCCCGAATGCCGCTACTGCCTTCGACACGCGAATATGCAACTCACTGTGTATCTTCTGATCAGGCGACATCACACTCCCACGGTAGCAGAAGCAGGAGGTGGTTTCTAATACTTCAGCACCAATGCTGATTCGTGACAATCTTGAAGATTACACCTCCGGTGAAGGCTGAAAGAGCCAGACAGCTTTGCTTGTGTTTATGGTGAGCCCGAATTTGGCGGCTGTCGAAACCAGAGCACTAGTCATGTGCTGCAACACATCCGCGCTGTGTGAAAACAACGCACAGTCGTCAGCAAACAGCAACATACGGATAGTTGTCTCACAGACTAGAGTTCTCGCACCGAAACGACGGATGTTCAGCAACCCACCATCAATACGGTGCTCCACACGAACACCGCAAGCACAAGCGGCATAAAAACACAAGACAACATTGCATGAAGATGTATATTAAACAGGGCAGGAGCTAAGACACAGCCTTGCTTCACACCAGAGACAACTGCAAACTCATCCGAAGTCTCTCCACTCAGCTACATGCCCGCTCGCATACCACTGTGCAGACATTCAATTAAACTTACAAACTTACGCGGGCAACCAAACTTAACCAACACCAGGCACAATGCCTCGCGGTTCACCCTATCAAAGGCCATGGTGAAGTCAACAAAAAGCGAGTACAATGGCTGGTGTCGTTCTCTGCACTTCTCTTGCAACTGACGAGCCGCAAACACCATATCTGTAGTGCTGCGACCCGAACGGAATCCACATTGCTCCTCCGCCACGTTCGGTTCCGCAACCTGACTCACGAGGCGATTGAGCAGGATTCGGGCAATCACCTTGCCCACACAACTCAGCAAGTTGATGCCACGATAATCCGTGCAACATTGCTTGCTACATTTGCCCTTGTACAGTGGTAGCACAAGGGCATACTTCAGCTCAGTAGGCACTTGCTCCTCAATCCATACGCGTTGCACCAAGTGGTGCAGAGCAGTCAACAACGCGGGTCTGCCGTGTTTCAATACTTCAGGCGGGATCCCGTCGGCCCCGGCACACTTGCTGTTTCGCAGCTGAGCAAGTGCTCTCTGCGTCTCATCTAGTGTCGGCGTGTCCGCCAGACTCGCCTTCACATTGTGATGCATGAGGGAGTTCAAAATAGGCCAGTCGATCTCTGAACGGTTGTTCAAGAGACAGACAAATGCTTTTGCCTGATCTGCATTATGTCTGCAGTCTGTGTGCAGGTAGCGCTTGAAGTACCGCCGATCAGCGTCCTCAGCGGCTCCAATCTTGGTCTATACACAGCCTTTAAGGTGTCAAAGAATTCTTTGTGTTGGTGGCGTTCGGCGTGGCATTCCATCTGCTTCGCCTTCTGCGTCCACCATGCATTTTTAATATGACGGAGCTCTCGTATCAGACGCCGTCGAAGTTTGCGAAACTGACTACTCTTCCCCAAGTCACTGGGGTCTGCAACATGTGCAGCAAATGCTGCATTCTTCTCCGACACCAATGCGCCAATCGTCACATTGTTCTCATCAAACCAATCAGGCCGTTTACACTTTGCGCGCCCAATGGTCTCCTCGGCAGCAGCTGTCACCTGGTCGCAAATGTGATGCCACAGGTCGCCCACTGTGGCTATGCAGTCCACATCACACAGGCGTGCAGCCATCGCCTTCTCCAGCTCAGTACGTTTCGCCACAGTACCGAGGGAATGTTAAATTTACGCCGATCCACGGCGGGAGTGCAATATATGGATTTTCAGAAATATATGTGCAGTTTGGTCCTCACCAATTTGTGATCAGTGTCACACTCAGCTCCACGCATACATGCGTCATGGCCAATTCACGCATATCACGCTGACATACGATGACCTAGTCGAGCAGGTGTGCGTGACAACTCCGTGGGTGCATCCAAGTTGCTATATCACTCGCACTCAGTGCCAACCGAGTGTTCGTGATCGGAAGGCCGTTAGTGGCGCACAGTGAGAGCAGCCTGTCGTCGTTCGTATTCGCTGAACCAATGTTATGCGAACCGATAACATCTGTCCACGCTGATGCATCACACCCAACGCGCGCGTTGAAATCACCCAGCAGAAATAGTCGGTCACTCCCTGGCACAGACTGTACAACGTAGGATAGCTGTGTCTACAAGTGCTAACTCATCTCATCAGGATAACACCTGTCCGCTCGTATATGCTTATAAAAGTGGCAAATTTGCACATCCCGCGTCCTAGGCGAGCAGTCCACAGTCGCGCGTTGATTCTTGTTGGTTCACACACCAACTGGCTACGGAGGCGATCGGATTTTGCAAAATCGACCCCATGTTCATGTGGTGCTGAGTTGACATTGCCCATCCAGTAGAATGCGTAGCCAGCACCTGCTTCACGCAACTTACCTTGCTCAGCAAGCCCAGTGTCATTGAGCGCCGCAATATCTATGTTGTAGTGCACCAGTTCCATCGCGACCAGTGCAGTGCGTCACTCGGGACGCTCACTCGACTTCCGGTTCAGTAATGTGCACACGTTCCATCACCCGATGCTGAGTGTTTTGCGCGCAGGCATACGATTGCATTGGTGGGCAATCGCACACAAGTTGGCGGTTGTGTTTCGAGGTTCGCTTGAGGGAATCCACCCAGATCATTTGACTCAATAGCCTGATACAGAAAGCAATGGATGATTTGGAGATTTGCTTGAGGGACTCCGCCCAGAGCCTTTGGCTCAATAGCCTTACCCACAAGACAGTGGGTAACAGATTTAGCTCGGGAATGTGATTGCAGAGACATATTGGGAACTGGTTGACGGTCGTTACACGCGGCCTTTAAAGTACCGGAAGGATTCATATATGTTTTGCGACCGAAGTCTTATACGCCTGAGACCAGGGCCAGACGCAGGTGGGTTTTGGCTGGTTTGCACCAATTTGACCAGGAGCTGTCTGGTTTGAGGCGGGCAGTAGCAAACCACTGAACACCCGGAGGTGCCATCCAACGGTCAGAGAAAATGTGTGACGCACTTGCTCTACGCCAATCGAACTGTGAGCTTATAACCCATAGACCTGTTGTCTCCCATGGCTAGATTTTACGGGAAGGGTGCCATCGACAACTTCCTAACCTCCGAAGAGGATGGACAAGGATATTGGCAGGGCCTCCAGATCCGACAGTAGAACGACTCAGGTCTTCAGCCAGAACCTTCGCGTAAATGTACACCCGAAAGTCAGCGGGTCTAGCACATGGTCAGTTCACTGATTCCTGCGGATTGGTGTCCTAGATCTAAGCAGGGAGAAGGGCGTAACCCAACTCCCACCAAGCGGTCACCAGGAGGAGGCGTCCAGGACATGAGCCCATGGCACGGCAGTAGCAGCATTTGGTAGATCTTCTGTCAGGATCTAGTCACCACCAGCCTTAATGCATCATAGGCTCTAGCGACATCCATAGGCACGTGCATATTTACGTGATCTGGTATAGGTCGGCGCTAACGAATATTACCGAATATTATCGCTTTTCATTGAGAGGTTTGTTTTCTCCGTAACTGAGTCGAAAGGTGAACTCACACTAATATTCTGAAACGTAAGCTGCCATTAATTTGATCCGGTGAAGCCAGCAGTCACCTAAAGTACATTGAGAATATACAGCGAAACTGTAATCTCGCGCACGCCTGCGTGTACTGATGCTAACGAATGTACCCCATGTGGAACGGTCAGCCAATCGGATTGCAGTGACTCTATCAACAAAATGAGATGTGCAGGTTCCGATAAACCGTATACTGGTCAGACGAATTATAAATGAAGCGTGATGCTACACCTGTTGAGCCGGAACAGCATCTGCTCCTTTCTGCATCAAACTAAAGGCATGAAATTGCTCACTGTTTTCGGACTATGTTTGGCATTTATCAGTGTAATCGAAGCATACTCACGTGAGTCAAAAATATGAGAAATCCAGAATTGTATCATGTTTAAGCTGTCAATAACAGAGTGCTATTTTTGGCTCACTATATTTACATGTATCTCACACTTTTAAAATATAAAGCAAATGATTTATGCGTATGTTTATTTTAGTGAATTCAGTTTAACTATATATAACAATATATTTTCAGAGAAGGCCACATAAGCGAAAATGTTTTCGAAGTAACGCAAAGTAGTTTAAGCCGTGTGCAAGTTTATAGAAGATAATTCAAGTAGATATTCATATGAGATAAAAACGGCATTAGGGAAATATAGCAAGCCCATCATCTGGATTAAAGAGACACAGCATGCATGGACGCGGTTAGTAAATCGAATGCATGGTACCGACAAAATCTGCGCCTGTTCAGCCTACGTTCTCTGAGGGACCGGTCGTCGCTTCGGTGGTGGTCCCGAGTGGCCTAGCTCATGGCTCACTAGGGCTGCGTGACTCTGGCGCTCGCGACCGCATGTGCTACAGCACTACGCGTCCGCTGTCGATAGAGTACAGCCCATTGGCGGCTGTCGCTTCCGTACTTGCCGCCTGTTCTCTGATTGCACGAGGACTTTCTCTTGCATCTAGGAAACGGCCTTCGTGATCAGATCGCGCCATATACGCCGATCAAAAGCTTTCCATTTCCAACACCTGCAGTGAAGATTAGAACGTGAGGGGCTCACTTTGATCATGCACTGGTTATGAGGCTTCGGTTTCCCCACATGCCGTTTTCCAATACTCAGCTGACCATATAAGAGTCGCTTCGGTATCCGTCTCGATTACATACGGCTTACATGACGGTGCCACAAATACATAAAATATGTATATATAAGGTATATAAATTACATTCCAATTTAATTTGTTGGTTCTGCATACCTGAATAAGATTCTATTGACTTGCACATGTTGCTTACGCTAATTGCGCTTATCACCGCTATCTTGATTGCGTTTGCAGCATTGCTCGTGTAAATTGTGAACATTCTGTACTTTTCGCTTATTCGTTGATAGCCAACTTACTTCATATGCCAATTTAAGGAAAACTTATGCCTACATATCAGATACTTTTTAACATATATATTTCAGTTGACAATATCATTTCAAGTGATTGGTCGTTGTTTGCTGTTCCCGATCTCGCTGCGATTGATGTGCATGTTGACAAAGTGTCTAGCTGTCTATTAATCACTATCTCCTCCATACTGGCTGCAAGAGACATTTAGTCGTTACTAGAGGGGACAGCGTGCACGGTCCTTATGGCCATGCTAGGCTCGAAGTGTGGTTCCATGCGGTCATTGCGGAGCGGACTACGGACCAACAACCCCCTTGTGTGCGCTTGTTTCCCTGAATACAGCGTGCTTGTGTTTGCCTGTGAAAAAGTGTGGGCCGGCTCCGTTGATGAAACGCGGTTCTCATCCACATTCCTCCCGGTCTTATTCCATCGTGTTTACGCTGGATATGGTGTATGTGTGTGGATGGAGCTGTGGGCGATGTATTGCAAGCCACCCATGTTTCCTCTGTATGCGCAGGCGCCCTGTGGCACATCCGAAAATGGATGCCGCCACCCTTATATATATATATATATATATATATATATATATATATATATATATATATATATATATATATATATATATATATATATATATATATATATATATATAATAAGTTACGTTATGCACACATGTAAGATGAACAATGTGCTTCAATACACACGCAACGGACATGGTTAATAAATGGAAACGAATAGTACATGAGAATAGATATAAAACCGCTAGCGTTACAAAAACTTGACAATTAAAACGCACTGGAATAATATACAAACCAGTTCTTGAGTGTATGTATTCTTGTCATTCAAAAAGTTGGCAAGAAAAGAACTACAGATGTACCATTGGTAGTGGTGTGGGTGTATATTATTTTGTACCTCTTCCTGGTCCAGAAGTTTGATCGCACTCGGACAACGCTCTGTGGAGGGGATGGCTAACGTAGGTGAGTATTTTAGTTGCAAATTTTTCATGAGTTGATATTGCTGACAACCATGATGTTAACCATTTCCATCTTTGAAATTCCACTAAACCAGGATAGATACTTCACTGATCTGTTAAGTACTTTATGGTCCTTACTCAAGAGACGAGAAAAGACGATGGGAATGCAATAGGTCTAGTAGGGTAACACACATGTGTAAAACGTTAGATCAAAAACCGAGGAATGCAAGGTGACCTGAGACGTGTAACAGAGAATGAGAATCTTCTAACTTTAGTGAATGTGCAGTTTCCTTGAAGGGACCACATAAACCCACTGCTAAGTATCACACCCAGGTATTTTACTGAGATGGAAGAAGTCATAACTTCAACGTCAATGCAAAGTGGCGGAATCTGCATTAGGTTCTGCTGGTAGCGACTTAGTTTGAACAGCGAAGAAATGACATCTTTGCATTTTAAGTTGTTTAACGGTAGCTGATGGAATTTGGACAAGCTGTGAGGTTGTCCAGCAGGACTTGTAGTTTAACCGATGGCATTAAATTCCTATGATGTACACCAAGAATGAGGCCGTCCGCATACTTCAGCAAGATGGCTTTTTCAGGGACGGGGATTGAGGTAACATAATTGGAACGTAGGAATGGGAACAAGCTATCTCTCTGAAGAACACCAGGTCGCGGTGAGGGGCAAATAATGCTTCGATTACACTGGTAAACTGGGTGCACTTGTGGAATAATCTTTCAGCAGAGGAACGATAGAATATGGAACTCCAGAACCCAATAGATCGCGCAACAATAGTTCATGGTTAACACAAGCGAAAGCATCGCTGAAATCCAGGAAGCGGATGCGGATGCAGTTGTTTTCCTTTCCAGTGCCGAGAGCACTGTGTGTACTATATATGCTATTGCGATATACACACTGATGAGTGTCAGCAAAATGGGTCTGAACTCGGATAGCTTTTAGAATCAGTCTCTCAAAGATCGTCCAAGCTACTGAGATGCAAACGATCGGCCGATATATGCAGGTTCCTTTCTTCGACACTTTTATGATGCTTGCGCTTTGTCAACTGTCAGCTACCTTGCACTGCTTGAAGCATAGTGCCTACAAATCGGCGACAGGCTGTACCAGGCAATTTGCACACCGTGTGAACGACAGAAGACCATTTTTCAGGACCAGGTGCTTTATTCACTTGCGGCCCGATTAATTCCTTGTATGCTACTAGGCTGCTGAAGTAAGGAGGGTTTTTTCAGGATAGCTGTAATTCAGCAGAGGGTATGTCGCAGAATAAAGTGTGATCTTGATTACAAAAATGAGATTTACTTTTTCCACTACCATAGAGTGAATGCGTGACATCGCAGGGGACTCCGATTAACTGTTACAACATATTCCCTATTTCACAACAGCTTTGATTCCAACTATGGCCTTAAGGTAGGTATGGCTGAGGTGATAAAAATGGGCATTTATATCAATCAATCGAGACTGTACCCATGTAACGTCTTTACGTTGAAAATACTTTACCTTAAGCCTAGGTGGTCGTTTGAGGTGCTGAGACAAGAATCCGTAGGCACGAATAAAAATCGATTCCGTTGGACGACAGGCGTCAAAGCAGACGTTTAAGTACCGTAAATGGGGGACCATAAGGCGTAGTATAAATGAATGGATCTGATTACGTTACGAAGGATCATAAAGCGAAACAATATAGCCGGATAGATCAGACTTACTTCAATTAATTAGCAATAAACGTCAATATTGTTCACTTTTAACATAGCAAATTGTAGCACAGCAAAATAAACACACTTTTTCAACCATTTCTCTCCTACAAATCCGTCGAATAATTTACTACAGTGTCGGAGTTTAACAGTTGGGCGTTAGTGGCAACAAGCAAGCCCAGATATTACTCGTCCTCATCTTAGTCAGTCTCATTGCCGTTGCTTGGCTGTTCATTGATGATTCCGATCTTCGTGAAAGTTCAGATGACAGTTGAGACAGATACCTTGGCCCAGGCATCGACGATCCATTGGTAGATAGTGGCGTAACTAGCACGGCGTTGCCTCCCTGTCTTGGTAAATGTGTACTGTCCTTCTGTCATCCAGTGCTCCCTCGCAGCTCGCAGGTTAACTTTGTACGCCCTGTTGATTCCAATACCTGGCGATTGAGGTTCTTTGGTTAATCCTCCCGGAATGATTGCAAGTTCCGAATTAAATTTTTCACGGCGTTTGACAGCTTCGGTGAGCTGGACGCGCATGCAGTCGCAGGTTAATAAGACCGGAGATGTGTGGAAAAAGCCATCCGGTCTCCTGTCGTAAACTTTTGTCAGCCACTTGCTCATTTTCTCCTCATATATCCATACTTTCGGGTTGAGCTTGACGATAATCCCAACAGGAAACCTTTCTGTTGGCAGTCCACCCCATAAAAAGGACCATAGATGGTTGTTTCTGGCCATTAGTCTATCAACCGAGAACTACAGTGAAGGATGATTTCTCGTTCCCTGTGGTGCGTATAGATAAACTAGACGTCCCTGTTTTTTCAACAGTAAGCTTCACGGGGATGTCAAAGCTGAGAGGAACTTCGTCCATGTTAGTGATGTGGTCTGGCTGGACCTTCTTTCCGGTGACCTTTTTCTTGCCGTCAGTGAGGAAGTTCGTCACCTTTCCTTCGTAATCCTTCGGGTGTTGTTGCGAGTTGGTTGTTCATGTGCGGATGACGAGATGACGCCTTAGCATGAAACGGAAGCACCAAGAAGAACCTCCTTGAATGTCTTGCATTTTCATATCACGTGCCATTTCTATTGTCTTGCACTGAATGAAGACTGTAGAGAGGCTTCTACCTACTGTTCTGTATTCAGTAATCCACTGCTCAATTCTATCCTCTAACAATGGCCATGTTGCTGTGTTCCCTCGGAAAATCTACTTTATCTTCTTTACTTGGGACGGGTTCTGTTCTTGTTGTTTCCACTTCCGTACCATAGATTGTATTATTGTTGAAGTGTTTCGCAGCTGCTCTAGTCG